CCCCGTCACACACATTTGGGGTGCCTTTTCTAACGTTGCACCTCCGAAATAGGCAACCGGGCAGCCTCCTGTTATTCCATGACATAGCCCCATTAGTCGGCCGATTCGCAAATGGCAGCCTCTGACTGGTCCGGCGGTGGCGGTTATCTTGCATGCGCTTGCCGACCAACCCGGGGAAGCGGACGGTTTGTGGGCGAGCGGGGGGTGTGGGATATGGTATGGCCTGGCTGTCCGTTCCCCTCCAAGGCTCAGCCGATGCCGGGACACCAATTGTTTGGTGAGGGACCCCTGGAACGAAAAGGCAAATCCTGCATCCATCCGCAAGCCACCAACCTCAGGCGCTTGATCGTCTCTCTGGGTTCATCCCCCGACGGTCTGTTCTCGGTGACACTTTTTTTTTCTTCCTTTCCCTTTCGTGCGGGCGCCTCGGGCGTGGCCTAGTGTTCCTAGTAAAAAAAAAAAAAAAAAAGACTTTTACTTTTTCCCCTCGTTCTGTCTTGCCTGTCTCCCTGTCCGGGCTGTCCGGTGTCCTTGACGTGGGAAAACAAATGCCCGTTCGCTCATTTCCCACACTCTGTCAGGCCTGCCGCTGCAAAGAGCAGGAGAAGCACATTTGATTTCTCAATGTCCGTCAATGCCCGTTGCGAGGCGGTCTTGGCAGAAGAGGCGCCCACCAAATTTCCGCCTCTCGCCAGAAAACCACCCGATTCTCCCCGACCGTCCATCATTGCCTTTTTGATTCTTCGTCTTATTTCCTCCCCTGGTATTCTATTGACGGTGCGCCGTCTCTTGTGGACTGACCAAACATGCGATTCCGATTCGTAATGGGGGCCTGTAAAAAGAATGCTACGGCAAGCAGGGACCCTTTGCCAGAGCAGTCCACTCGCCGGCTCGGCCGGATCAGGCTTGGCGAAGCCTTCAACCTTGCAAAACCCTAAGCTAGGGAAGGGTGACATCGCTCCCTGAACAGACGCATGCCTTCCCCGCATTGTGCCATATTCGCCTCCCACCCTGGTCATCCAGGGTTCATTTCCCTTTTTCCTTATTTCTTGGTCAGCTCAGCTGGACCCCATATTTCGCCCACCAAGGCAACGCGTAATGAACGAATGCAAGCCCATCATGGCGCAGCGAGGCACAGCGTGGGGGCCTCGCTCTGCCAGCCACGTACAGTAAGTACATCGTCCCTACTTAAGCGTTGCTGTTCTCTTCCATGCCTGAATCCAGAAGTGCATCCGAAATGAAAGCACGTCAAGACCCCCAACCGTCGCGACAACTGTCCGCAAGTCTGCATCTGACTTGACTTGGCACCTACCACTGATGGCACAGTCAGCCACCGATGCCGTCTCGCCTCTAAAACATGACTCTTTGTCCATTCATGAAACAGCACGGCCAAGTCAGGACGACTTCTTGCTGCTGCTCTCGAGAGAAGAAAGAAGGAAAAAAGGAGGCACCGACGTCATAAGAGGGTCCACAGACGCCGCTAACCCGCCCAAGGATACCCAGGTCCGCCGCCGTGCAGCGGCACAATGCCAAGTGTGTAGCGTCGCGTCTTTGGACGCCTTGGCCAATGATGTGCTGGGGCGTTCCACGGGCTGTTTTCCCTCAATGGAGATCTTGGGCCGCGATCCAATAACAGAATGGTAGATCCCTCCCCGACCTCGCGCAGCAGGACAGATCGGCCTGTAGATCTTCGGAAGCCGTGAGCCAGCGCCGACGAGGTACATGCCACCAATACTGTCGGTCATCGGACGAGAAAGAGAAGTGCGATGCCGATGTGTACACGGGCACGGGAGACTTTTTTGATCCCCGATTCCTCGCTAGGACGGGGATGGCTAGCGGCTTTAGGGACTAGAATCCTTGGCTAGCTTGGGAGAGACCAGAGACGTTGTTCATTGCGCGTGTCAGGTTCTTTTTGTAAGGTTTCTTCCTCCGAAATGCCGAAACACTGCTGCGCGTCGAGCACCACAACCTTGTTCTCCGTCCTACCTACCCCGCATCTCGACACGAGATGCAGGCAGCAACCCCAGCTGCGGATGGCGGAGTGGGCGGACGCCAATGGAAGTCCTTGTCTGGTTCGTGTGGCCTGGAAGTCGACGCCACGGGGTGTTCCGAATACACGGGAGCATCTCGGGGTTGAAGGGACGGGGAAGTCACATCCAATTTTGCCGTGCATTTATTTGGGTGCTGCTTTGGGAAAGGCCAAGCACACTCTTGAAGGATCATCAATGTTAAATTCGGGCAAACTTAAATCGGGCAGAGTAAGGAGAAAACTTATTCCAGTATGGGAAGTGAAAAGCGGGAGATCTAAAGTTCGTGATTCTGGAAGGATGCGCATGCGTGGTAGCCTTCCATCAAAAAGACTTGGCCCTAAATATCTGGGCGTTTGTTTGGGTTCAGAAGAAACCACCAAACTCTACTCCCAGTGATACCCTAATTACGTAACACTGCCAAAAGCAAAAGATGGATAACCGCTCTTGATGGGAATCTCTCTCGCCGGGAATTGAACCCGGGTCTCGAGCGTTGTGTTTGATGACAAGCTCGCATACTGACCACTATACTACGAAAGATGATTGGTTGGAGGCGGCGACGAGCTGGAGGACTCATTGGACGAACATTGGTCCAGCCACAGGATGGAAAATCACCCCACTGCGGTCCGAGTGTCGAATGTTGACCAGCTGCCACCGAATCTGCAACATTCCAAGAGACCGGAAAGTCTCACCTAACCCAGAAGGGCTGACAAACCCGGACGACAGCGAGTGCATAATCTATTCTTGAGTCCATGTTTGTGACCCTATTCGCCCGTCAATCTGCCCAATCTCGTTTTCTCCAGCCGTTTCCGATCGGATGTGGGCCGTGAGAGGAACCAGTCAGCCTCGGGTGGAGGTAAATCTGCTAATTGTGGCTGGCGCGCGCGTGTGGCTGCCTCACCGGTTTGCCAGACCTCTGGGCCAACTCTCTGTTTTACATCGCTGAAGCCCTTGATCCGTGATATATCTGCTTCGTCCTTGTGTTCGAGATGGAAGCCGGGCACGTTGTTAACGGCGGCAGTCCACTCGCGTGTGCCGTCCGTCGCGAGCGTCTATTTCGGTGCCTAGAGGTGTTGCCGGCGGCGGAAGGGGCCGCCGTCGGCCGAGTCGACTACGTTCCTCACCGGGATTAAATAGCAAACCCGTAACCCGTAACCCGTGGCCGGCGAGGTTTGATGCTGCGGGTTGTTTGTGCCGCGAAGGAGGACGAGGGGAGCAAGTTGCTTGCTCTTACCGCCGCTTGGTTGTAGTCATCGGCCGAAAACAGCACCACGTTGGCTCGGACGAGCAGACTGTACGACAGTCCAGATTCCGAGTTCGCATCACATGCAGCAGGATGGACAATGGAGGAGGCCAACACTGTAGCACCTGGCCATATTTTCTCAATGCACGCGGGCCAACCACAGCCGCCGACTGTCGAGTGAAGCCCCTTGCGCGCGCGCGCTAGAGACGCAAGGGAGCCCTATCTAGGGGGTCTGGGCAGGTGCTACCCAGAGTCCTAGGCTTGGCCACCTAACACAAACTTGTCACGAAAAGAAGCCATCACTCTGCCTGCCGCTAGTGCGATGGATACCTCCCATGGCGGAGCCAAGTCCGACGTTTGCTGTGGACCCAAATGACTTCACTACCGTTGCCTACCACAATATTTAAAGGACCTCTCCTCCCGCAGGATCCAAGTGCTTGATGTTCTGAATCCCAACGCACACCCGGAACAAAGAAAACCAACTTGAGAGATCACGACGACCACAAGCTGGCACCATGGTATGAACACCGCCTGAGCGGTCCCCGAGACCCGGGTGGTGAGGCTAATCTGACATTCTCGCGCGCCAGGCCATCAAGCGCATCGTGCCCATCGACGAGACTGGATCCTCGTCCAGCACCGACCCGAACTCCCTCGCTTCTGCGCAGAACACGGAGAACCATGTCCCGCGAGCCGGAGACTCTGCCGGCGACTCCGAGTCTCGCCCGGGACCGGCTGCGGACCCGGAAGGCCTGGAACTCAGCGTGCGGCCCTTGAGCACTGCGAAGGGCCTCCTCGTCAAGGTGCAGCCGCCCAAGGCGCCCCAGGGCGTCCCCGCCAACTACCACGTCCCATGCGACATCGTGCTGGTCATCGACGTGTCGGGAAGCATGGCCAGCATGGCCGTGGCCCCCGCCAACAAGGGCGAGGTCGGTGAGGACCACGGGTTCTCCACGCTCGACCTGGTCAAGCACGCCGCCCTCACCATCCTGGCCACCCTGGACGAGCGGGACAGGCTGGGCATTGTAACGTTCAGCAGCAAGGCCAAGGTGCGTCCCGTCATTTTAGGCCGCGCCGTCTGGTATAATGAGTTAGTTCTTATGTGAGGACACTACTGACGGAGAAGTGATGGTGGGGTGTGTAGGTAGTGATGGAGCTTGTGCCCATGAGCGAGGACAACAAGAAGCTGGCCAAGGAGGAGCTCCTGAAGCTCAAACCGGATTCCCAAACCCACATGTGGGACGGCATCGCCGAGGGGCTCAAGGCCTTTGAGGGCAAGCGGGAGGGCAGCAACAGGGTTCCTGCTGTCATGCTTCTGACTGACGGCGAGCCTACCTCGTGGGACTCCCACCCTTTTGCCCCTGGGTACCTGCTCAAAACACGTCCTCGAGCATTTGCTAACCTTGGCACCGCTTTTTTTTCTTTGTAGCACTCCAAGCAGCGGCTGGGTGAACAAGCTGAGCACAATGCGACCGTTCCTCGCCCCCATCCACACCTTTGGCTTTGGATACGATCTCGAGTCCGGGGTTCTCAAGTCCATCTCCGAGCTCACTGGCGGCCACTACGCCTTCATCCCTGACTGCGGAATGATTGTGGGTTACTTCCCCATCCTCTACTCTACTCCTGAAATAGAAGGGCAACCTTTGCTGACCTTGCAAATGCAAACAAAAACTAGGGCACCGTCTTCATCCACGCTGTCGCCAACCTACAGTCTACCTTCGCGACCGAGGCGCAGCTGAAGATCACCTTCCCGGCCGTCACGGGCCTTGGAGCGACCATCGGGAACAGTCTCCAGATCGAACCCGTGGAGAGGGCGCGGCCCGGCAGGGGACAAGGTGCAGAGCGGGCATACCTCACCGTGGGCCTCGGGTCGCTGCAGTTCGGCATGTCCAAGGACCTCTACTTTGAGTACAATGGAGAGGCGGCTCTGCTGCGGGACTACCTCCCCGCCGACCGGGCCGTCGAGGCCGAGCTCAGCTACAAGACCGTGGCCAACAGCAGCGAGCTCCGCACGCTGACGCTCGCCCGGGACCCGTTCAGCGCTGACGACCCGCCCGAGGCCGAGGCGGCGTACCACATCTCGCGCTCGATGCTGTGCAAGTTCCTGTCGTCGCTGTTTCCCTTCCCAGCCAACGGC